CAAACACCAGATCCTTGCCTCGCTGGGTCCCAGGAGCTGGCTGAGCCCCAGGCGACAGCCTCTCTGAGTCAGGGGACTCATGGCTCTTCTCTGCGAAGAGGAGGGCAGAGCCGGCGGCAGACAGTGGGCAAGACCTCAAGGGCAGGTCCTGGATGTGGTGGTGAGGGGCAGCGGCCACGTCTCCTGGAACCTGGCAAGTGTGTCAACCTGCCTGTGACCAGGGAGTGTGGCTCTTAGAAGGAATTCCTGCTCACAATTCACAAGCTGCCAGTCCCCCATCTCAAGGGCCAGCCCCTCTCTGCAGTCAAGAGCTATACCCCCTCCAGGCCAGCCCCTCTCTGCACAGCCCCCTGACGGGCCCCCTGCCCGGCCCCGCCCGGCAGTGTCCCTGTGTTCAAAGTGCACGTCTGTGTTACAGCCCTGAGGTGCATGCGGGGAGACCCTGACCCCATGGTCAGCTCCCTGGCCACACAGACCTTCTACGTCCTGGAAGCCATGGGGACGCGACCAGTCACCACCCCCACATCCTGCTTCTGCTGCAGGAGGCCTCGAAGGGGCTACTTCTGAGCCCGAATGCTGGGCAGACAGGACTGCGGCAGCAGTGGCCACGGCCGGGCAGCTGAGCCCTGCTCTAGACGTGGGGTGTGTCCCTGCAGAGCCTCTCTAATAAAGGGAGAAAGCCGGAACTTCTGTGCGCTCGTGTTCCCTCGTCCCGGCCGGGTGGGGCAGCGCCGCCGCCTCCGCAGAGAAGCGTGGGGTCCCGGCCCGCCTGGTGGGGCCGGCCCTCTGCCTGCGCAGCCGGGGCCGAGGCCGGAGCGCAGCGGCTGTTCTGAACATCAGCTTGAACTGTGACTGGGAGCTCCGCGCTGTCGGGATCCGGGGGTGTGCGCGGGGTTCCTGGCTGCAGGCCCCTGAGTCCATGCCGGCTGGTTGAAGCGGGAAAGAGGTTTACTAAAGGGCGTTAGTCAGCTCACAAAGTAGCCCGGGAGATCAGAGCGCGGGTGTGGCTGCCAGGAACCCGGTGGCTCTGCGGAAAGAGCGCCGCGGCCGGCCCTGCGTGCAGCCAGACCCCGGCCCGGGCGACAGCACTCAGGCCTAGATACTGGAACCTGGGCCCCAGGTGCTCACGAGAGCTGGCCGTTTCTTCCCACCACGCTGGGGGTCTGCTGGTGGGCACCCCCTGTCGCCCGCTGCTCCTGCTGGAATCCGCCCTCCTCGGGGCGGCTCGGAGTCCGTGCGGGGTCATGGGCTGCTCCCACTGCCCACACCCTCCCCCAACGTGGGAGCCAGGGTGACCTGAGTCAGAGGGCCCCGGGCAGAGCTGAGTGTCCTAAGAACCTGCTGACTTGGACGCAGCGAGGCCAACACCTGGGCTGGCCCAGGTCGGGGTCCACGATACCCGGCCTCTGCCACCTGCACCCCAGCCCCAGACATGTGCGAGCGCCCCCTGGGTGGCTGCTCCGCCCCCCAACGCCTGCCCTCAGTGCTGGCCATGCTCCTCGCGTCATCTGAGCCTGGGCAGCAGCGGGGTCACCGTCACGCCTGCAGACAGACCTTAGAGGCGGCTCTGAAGCCCGAGCTAACGTCTGCGTTGGCCAGAAGGCTCTCCCACCCCTGCCCTGGTCACCAGCTGTCACTAGGGGCCCTAGGGCTGACCTGTTATAGATGAAGGTGCTGGGGACGTCACAGACGCAGAAGTACAGCCACGTTCCTCCCTCGCCCTCCCAAGGGCAAGCTTGCTTTGCCACAGCAAACAGAAGAGAGGTCTTATTAGAACCCTCCAGCCGGCCAAGTGCGCTGGTGTCGAGCCCACTGCAGAGACTGTTCCGACGCCCCCACAAGCCCTCCCCCGCCCCCGCCTCCGTCACACCGGGTCAGGGCGCGTGGGCAGACCCTTGCCAGGGCAGGGACGGAGCCAGGACCCTCTCGTCCCGGGACGACCTTGGCCGACTCTGTCAGCTTCTGGGCCTCAGCTCCCCTGGTCTGTAAATCAGGAGGGTTGGGGAGACTGTCGTCTAAGATGCCACCCAGCCCTGGCAGTGATGGTCCCTGCCACACTCTGAGAAGTGCCACTTCCCTGGGTCTGGGAAAGATGCCTGGTGACTTACACCCGAAACAGAACTTGTCTGCTTGACGCTCATTTGTTCTCCGAATTTTCTATCATTGACAGTTCGTACTTTCGTAATCTGGAAGGAGACATCCCACATTAAAGAATAAAATATGATGTCCCTTAACCGAGAGGCCCCGCCTCCCCACCCCGAGGCCCCTTGGCGTCGCCAAGTCTTGAGTTTGGAAAAAAACACCTTCTATGGGCAACTAACTGTCTGGGGGTGAGAGGGAACCAGCTGGCTGAAGTCAGCTCCGCAGCCCACACCCACCGGCCTGCAGCGGGCGACGCCCAGTCGCCACTTCCCACGGCTGACGGTGGGCTTCGCCCCGGAGGGCAGGATCCTTTGTGCGAGATGGCCTTTGGGGAGCCAGGGTTGGGTGAGACCCGTGGGAGGGTAGGGCGGGAGAGCGGTGGGGCGGGGCTCAGTCAGCTGGCCAAAACAGCCTGCTTCAGAGCCAGACATGCTTCCCAGGCAGGGAGGCTCCCGGGCCAGAGAAGGCTGGGGCTGCGGGGCTCTGCCCGCCCGCGTCTCCCTCACTGGCTCAGGCCCCCAGCTTGCCAAGGCCCAGAAGCCTCTTGGGAGGCCTCTCTCTGGACCACGATGACTTCTGCCTCCTGCAGACTCCGGCCCTGCTGGCTGCATCAACCGTGGGTCTAGGCGAGCAGCAGGACCCAGGAGCTGACCATGCAGCGGCTTTGTATTTGAGGACCAAGCCAAGAGAGACCCTGCAGTTGTCACAATACGAATCAGAGAGTGAAGCTTCCAGATTGGCCAGGGTGGGGGCAGAGGCCTCCGTGCCCAAGGGAGTTGGTGCAGTGGTGCGTGGTTATCGAAAGGGGCAGGTAGCTCAGATGTTTGGTGACATCTCGTAACACCACGCCCCAAGGTCGCTGGTCTTCCTTGGCTTCACCCACGCACGTGGTGGCTCCCTAAATGTCTGTTTAGAGTCTGTGGTCATAGGCCCTGGGAGGGAACACAGAAAATACCAATATGAAATCATCACCTAGAAACAAAGGCGGGTGAGTCTGATGCATGGAAATTGCATCTCAGTAAGACTGTTGTGAAAAGTGGTTTCTTAAGATCTGAGCCTGGAGGGTCATCGCATGCAGAGCTCATGTGGGGCCAGCGGCACCACGAGGGCCTTGGGAACACGGGGGATGCTCAAGCAGGATCCTGAGTTACTTACGTGAGCGTCACTGGTTCCTGAAGAACAGGGCGACAATGGAGTGCAGTGAGTTCCAGGCACGAGGCTCGCTCCGGCTTCACTTTATAGGAACAGCTCTGTGTCTCCCGGGTGAGGCGCTCCTTGCAGGGCTGCTCAGCATCTCATAGACTTCAAGATATTTTTATGTTAAAATAGTGGGGTTATGGGAGGGTACAGCTCAGTTGTAGAGCGCATGCTTAAAATGCAGGAGGTCATGGGTTTGATCCCCAGTACCTCCAGTTAAATTTAAAAGTAAATAAATAAACCTAATTACATCCCCCCAAAACCCCCAAAACCAAACAAAAACAAAGAAAAACATTTTTTAAATAGCAGGGTTAATAGAACAGAGAGATTTTCAGGGCACTGGGGAGGAGGGGAGTGTGAGGTTTTAAGACTGGGAAGCACTGATCTGGAAACAAACATGGCGCCCGCATTGGAGCGGTTTCTTTGTGTGACCATCCTGTCTGTGTCTCCTCCCCCTAAGTGGCGAGGGAGGGACCCCGTGTCTGGTGTGCACCCCGCACGGCGCCCACCCACCTGCGAGCAGGCACTGCCATGCTCGTGACAGGAATGGTGCGGGTTCGGTCGGGCTGGCCTGGGAGCCGATCTTAACTCCGCGCTTAGCTGAGTTAGGGGCTCCCTCGCTGAGACTTTCCTCATTTCAGAAAGTGCAAACCCACCTGCCACACAGGTAGTGAAAACCCAAAGAGCGATGCCTGGAACCATGTCTGGGATGGAGCAGGTGACCAGGAAACACTGGTGCCATGCCTCCAGCTCCACACCTGTCCCGGGAGGTGACACGAGGCCAGAGGGATCGCAGCTCCCTCGACACACTTCCTCAGTGAGGGACCTCCGAGCCTGCCCCGCCCGCCACTGGCCCCCGCCCAGGGAAGGGCCACCAGCCCAAGGTCTCAGAGTCACACCATAGACAGTGGTCATTCATGTTTTATTTATGACAGTTTCTCAGAACACACACATCCAGTCTGGGAACAGAAGTGTACAGCATGAGGCTTAAATAACGTTCCTACACTATGTACAATCATCGGCGGAGGTACAAAATATCTGTACACCTGTGCGACCCACCCAGAGCAGGGGCGTGAGCCAGACGAAGCCTGCGCCTGGGCAGGAGACAGCGAGAAAAGAGCTGGTGGGCAGGGCAGGGCTTCCCGTCAGGGTTCCTCTCTGACCCTTGGCTCTTCACACAAGGCCCTGCAAGGCCCTTGGGACAGCAGTTCAAAGGGCTGGACTGGGGTGTGGTGGGGGACTGGGAGCTCATCTGAGCACTGAAGTGGGGGAACAGCACAAAGATGCCTTAGGGAAAACAGAATTTCCCTATAACTCTATCCTTGCACATCAGAGGGCCGGGAAGGGTCTGGGGGCCAGGAGAGGAGGGCTGTAGGGGGCACTGGCCATGCCCTAGCTCCTGAGCCCACAGCAGGAGGCCTCGCCAAGCTAGGAGCAGCATGCAGTTTCCTGGCTGGGTGGCAAAGAGGCAGACACTGGGCTTCAGCCGCTCGGCAGAAAGGAGCTCAGGGTTCTTGCAGGCCGGCCCTGCCTACAGCAAGCCGGTGAGCACACTGGGCACAGGCCGTGGCTGGACGACCAGGGGTGAGCCCGCATCCAGCCCAGACGGCTTCGGGCACCCCGGGAACACGGGCCTTGCCACGGGAGAGGGCAGGAATCTGCAACTCCACCGAACTGGGCGGTGGGAGAAGGTCCCGGGGACAGTCTTCCCTACGGTGGTTTGTGCTTTAAACTGCAGCGGGACTGGACAACCGAGGGCGGAAGACTTCCTAAGCTACACCGTGGCCACGGTGGGTGGGCAGGGAGCCCCTCCCGGATCCACAGCTGTCCCCTCCCGAGGGAGAAGTGGCACTCTGACCACCTCAAAGGCGCGGGTGTGCTGGCCTCTGCCTCTCCGCCTCTCTCCCTCCTCGGCACGCTCCCGGGTCAACTCCACGGGCTGCCTTCGAGGGGTCAGGCCCCAAGAGGGATGAAAACACTGACCTGGTTAACACTGAGGACAGAGGTTGGCACAGGGCCGTGCCGAGAGGACGCAGGCAGTGGGGATGGAGGACACCTCAGCGCTTGCACGGGGCTCAACCCGGGAGCCGGGGTGTGGGTGCAGGCTCGCTAGGCTCCCGGGGCTGGGATGCGCCTGGGCTCGGGTAGAGACCTGGGCCTGCGGGGGTAAGAGGGCAGCACTCCTGGGCCCCCTGCCCGCCTGCGCAGCCTGCCTGCAGGGCCAGCCTTCGGGGAGGACAGGCCTCGGGCCGAGCCCCGTCTGAGCAGGGCAGCCCGGCGTGGGCACCCTCAGTCTACGTAGGACAGAGCCTGTCTGGGGGGCGCCTCCTGGGCTGGCTTGCCCAGGCGGCCTGCCGCCAGCCCTGCATTGTGCTCAAGTCACCACCATTTTGTGCTTCTGACCTTAGGGTGCTTGTGCAGAGAGGGGTGCGGGGGCCTGCCCCCAGCCACGATCCCCGACGTCCCTGAGGGAGCGGGCAGACCTCAGCGCTCTGCAGCACAGCTGGGGTGGCTCCCAAGGCTTCAAGTTCAGAGTCAGTGCTTCTCCCGGACAGCAGAGCTGGCCCCACCGTGAGGTAGCTGGCCCAGCAGAAACAGCAGAAAGCGGGCAAGGATGCCGGGCACCTCTCGGGCTGCAACAGACCCTGCAGCTGCGGTCCAGCCGATCCGGTCGCCCCAGGCTGGGCAGCCAGTCTTTTGTGTTTCTACAGTTTGTAAACAGTCATGCAGACAATTCTTTCCTACAGGTTGCAAGACTGAAGCTTCCCATGGGGGCGGAGAGGGAGAGGGATGAGGGAGGCTCACACTCTTTTCTGAGCAGGCCCCAGGATGGTCAAGTAGGAGGGACCTCCAGTCCCAAAGGTAGACTGTCCCAAGCTCCAGGCACATTCCTGCAGCACGACGGCTCGCTCAGACTTCGCCCCCACATCCAGCAGGGGCCCCTCACAGCAGGACGACTTCCTTAGCCTGAGGGGCAGCTCTGGGCAGGGGGACAGGCCGTACTCCTCCCTCCTCTGCCCTGTGTGCCAGGTGCCGCGGAGGGAGGGGCACCGAGGGCAGAGCCCAGGGCCACCTCCTGAAGACCCAGGTCACCGTGTCCTCTAAACAGAGCCGTGGCTCCCGGCGCCCAGAAAGGCCGGGAAGCACAAGGCCAGTTAACCATCGGAAAAGCAGGCGGACAGGTCAGGGCGGGGGAGGGGCGGGCCCAGCGTGCTCCCTCCCGGGCCCGCCTGCCGCTGGAAGGCGGACTTAACAATGTCTCTGGAGCTGGGAGTTCACAGTCCCAAAGAAACTCAGTGAAGTCCCTCCCTCCGCTGATCTAAAGGGAGAGCCCCCTTCCCTGTGCCGGTTAAGGCTTGAAAAAGCATCTCCGGAGAAACCAGAGAAAGAAGCTAGGGGCTCTGCCTGGTTGGGGTGAGATGCAGGGGGCTGGGGAGGGGCGGGGCCGGGTGCACCATCCAAGCCACGTCCTGGTGGACGGGCCTCTGAGCTGCTTCCTACGTGGCCCACGCAGGGCTCTGGCAGTGGGGCCCCGGGTCTGGGATGCGGGGGCCATGGGCAGGAGACCCCGTGGTGAGAAGACACATGTGGCGCTGCGGGCATGGCTGGTGTTAAGGCTGCCCAGGAAGGGTGCCAGCCCCGGACGGAGGAAGGCACTGACGCGGCAGGCGGCCAGAGTCGGGGCACTCAAGTGGTCTCCAGGGCAAGGAGGGGGGCAGGCCCGGGCTGCAGAGCAGAGCAAATGGAGGGGCAGCCCTGGAGGGCGGGAGTAGGACCCCCTTGGGGACTCCTGGCCCCCAGGAGAGGAGGGAAAGAAGATGTGGGAAGAAACTTCAAGTCAGTTTCCAGGAGGCAACAGCAGAAGTAAAAATAAATAAGGTAAACCATTGAAGTATCCTGCTCATCTCCCCAAAGGAGGCTCTACAGCAGCTCCACTGTGGTCCAATCAGAAAGGAGCCCATGCAGCGCTGGGGTCCTCGGGGAGCGGCTACCGGTGGCCGAGGGGCTGAAGGCCAGCTGCACGCCCAGCTGCCGACGCCTGGTTTCCACGGTTACCTGAGGGCTATCTTTTTGGGCTCAGAGGCAGGTGCAGTGGCTGGACCAGAGGAGGCAGGGGAGGCCTGCTCGTCTGAGGAACACGGTGGGGGGGCTGCCTCACCTCCCCTACAGGCCCTGCCCTGGGCCAAAGGCTGGAGGAAGGGCATTGGCCAGCTCGGCAAGAGAAAACCGAGGCCAGGGGTGGAGAGGAGAGAGACGACGGGAAACGCCCTTTGGCTTCACAGCTTAATTCCTCCCGACCTCCCTGTCCCCAAGGAGGGGGTGGACAGTACCCTGTGAGGAGGCTGGGGAGAGGCCGGGGAGCAGCAGAGGGGCCTCTGGCCCCAGCTTCCTCTCCGCGGGGTCCAGGCTGCTGGGCGGAGGGCCGGGTGGCCCTCTGACCTCACTCCTAGCGGGTGCCACTGGGTAAGCGCCGGGCAGTCCAGAACTTCACCGTCAGGTCACTGGGGTGAGCAAGAGAGGACTGGTCAGCTCCTGAAGTGGGCCCGGCTGGCGCCCACCCGTGAAGGCGGGCCTGGGTCTCCCACTCGCTAGGCAGCGCTGGGCTGGGGCAGGCGATGCTCAGGGCCGGGGTGGCTGAGGGTGGAGGGGTGCGAGGCAGTGGGCGGGCCTGTCATCCAGGCCCCGTAGGATTCTCATCGTGGGTTTTCTCTGCTGTTGCTACTTTGTTTTGTCCTGTCCAGGCCTGAATGCTGCCCCTCTGCCCTCTGCCCTGGGCACCCCTCTCCTGGGGGGTGTCTGTCCCCCATTCATGCTCAGAAGGAAGAGGGCCAGGCAGGGCAACCTCTGGGGGGTGGGGGGAGCAGGCAGGATGTGGAGGGAGAGAAGGGAAGGGGAGTAAAACAATCTCGTACCGTGAAGAAGCAGCTCAGATCGAAGCGGAGAAAGAGGGGAAAGGAGAGGGGGAGGCTGAAAGAGGAGGGGGGCGGACGTAGGGGGGAGGGGGGAGGTCAGGGCATGGTGGTGGCTCGGCCCTTTATGGCCAGGACTCGGCGAGGAAGGCAGGGGGTGAGTCCAGGGACGTAATTCCACAGCTTTACCCGGCAGTCACTGTGGGGGAGAGAGGCGGAGGGAGGGGGTGGAGAGAAGGGACACAGTGGGGACAAGAAGGAAAAAGAAGAGACCCCCTGAGCAGCTGCCCAAGGGACAGAGGGCCTGGGCACCCATGGACGGGCCCAGAGCTGGGGCTGGAGGCAGGGGGCCTGGGGTGGCAGGACTGCTCTGCGGTCTGAGACTCCTGGTCAGGGGTCAGGACTGCTGGGTGAGATGAGGTGGGGCGTGGGGGGTCGGTCCCGGCCTGGGGCCCAGCACCGCCCCTGCCCCCACGCCCGGTGGGCGCTCCGGGAAGGCTGGCGCGCAGGCCGGGGGCGCCTGGGGAGGGGTGGGCTCCGTCGCCTGGGCCTGGGGGGCCCTGCCCAGGCTGGGGGGTGGGGGCACCAGAGCAGAGCCCTGTGCCACCCAGCACCCACCTGGAGGCGGTGAAGACGTGCCGGGCGTTGGTGCAGATGGCGTTGATGGGGCTGTCGTGGCCCTTGATCTCGCCGATGGGTGTGAAGTTGTCCACGTTCCACACCTTGATGACGCCCGCGCGGCAGGCACTCAGCAGCATGGGGCGGCCCGGGACGAAGGCCAGGGCGCACACCCAGTCCTTGTGCGCGGTGGGAATTTGCTGTGGGGGAGCCAGCCGTGAGGGCGGGGAGTGGGGGAGCCCCCGGCAGGCAGGCCACACTGAGCTGCACAGGGGCCACAGGGCCCAGAGACGGGTCCTTGCACCCCTCTCCCAGGCTCGGACCTGAGACCCTGCACCTGAGGAGAAGCCTTCGGCCCTCCTTGGGGTCAGCTGGGCTCCACAGTCAGACCCTTTCTGAGAGCCACTGTGTGAAGGTGGAGTCAGGAGAGCCTGCCGGCCAGCGGGGTGAACCCAGAGGGAAAGAGGATGCAGAACAGACCAGCTTGGGGGGCTCTGGCCCAGGACGCAGGGTCCCAGGCCCTGCCTGAGGGCCGCCTCCCCCCACCCCCACACCTGCACGAGCTCCTGCTGTTCCAGGTCCCACTTCTTGATGCCATTGTCTCGGGAGCCGCTGAACAGGACGTCCCCCTGGATGGCCAGACACTCGATGCCGTCGTAGTGCGGGGGCTCAAAGTTGTGCGTGGGGCCCACAGTGCCCGACACGCACTCGCCCAGCTCGAACATCTGCGGAGGGAGGGCGGGAGGAGGAGTCCGGGGAGGGCCCGCCAGGCCGCCCACCCACCCTGGGTCCTGCGCGTGGCCAGTCCCCAGGGCCGCACACCAGGTGGAGGGAGGGGGCCGCCTGGGGAGGCGGGAAGACTGACTGAGGTTAGCACAGGGGAGACCCGCAGGCAACACAGGGCTGCGGTGGACAAGGGAGGGCTTGGAGTAAGAGCCTCCTGCCAAATTTTTTTACTTCATGGGGGAGGGGAGAGCTTGGTGGTGGAGCGCGCGCTTAGCAGGCACGCGGTCCTGGCTTCAGTCCCCAGGCCTTCCACTAAAACAGAAATTTTACAATAAACAAGTATGACACTGCCTGCACTTTAAACAAAAGCATTCATCGTAATCCCACCGTCCTCTCTTTCCTTTTTTATCTGCTCCTTCCCAGCTTCTGACCCTGAACGCACGTTTCTAACGACACGATCAGGAAGAAAGAGGATCAGGGCTGCCTGTGCCCTGCGGGTTTGCGACGTCTGTCACGCAGTGAGTCGCACTGCAACCTGTTCTGTGGGTTTTCCCTCATTTACTCGACTGTCACTCTGGCCTTAGACATTTGGGTTCGTTCCCCTTTCCGCCATTTACAAAACACCGCTGAAATCTCGGCTTTCCGCGCACACCTTCCTGCTCCTTGGGAGTAACTTTTTAGCATAAATTCCCAGAAGTCTCATTACTTGTCACGACTGCTCCCAAGGCAACGGAGGGGGAGGGATGAGGTGGGGAGAGAGCGAGAACCGTGAGAATGGACCCCCAGCCCTGCCGGGCCTTGAGGCCAAGGTCTTCTGGTACCTTAACATAGTGGTCCTTGGAGCCGGTCACTACCAGGTCATGCTGGCTGGCGGTCTGGGTGACCGTCAGGCACATCACAGGGCCAATGTGGCCAGTCAGCTTGCCGATGGGCTGGAACCTGTGGCAGGGAGGTCCAAGCGGGGAGGTGGATTGGGGGACCCCGGAGCGGGGCTGGGGGGGTCTGCTGTGGCGTGAATACCCAGCCAGGGTCCCTCCCCCTTGGAGCAGGACGGAGACCCAGACACCAGCCGCCTGTATCCTGGGGGCTCGGAGGAGCAGCCTGGGTCCTGCCAGCCCTGGGGCACCCCCCCCCGAGTCCTGTGTCCCTCCCCGGGCCCCTCCCTGACCTGCTGAGCTCCCAGATGCGGACGGCGTTTCCCGAGGCGGCATACAGCATGGTGCCCGAGGGGCTGAGGGCGATCTGGTTGACCTGGTGCTCCCCCTGGGCGCTGGTGATGCTGCGCGTGGACGCCGCGGCACAGGCATCGCCTGAGACCACCTGGCCTGAGGACCTGCCGCGAGGGAGACGCAAGGTCAGAGGTCAAGGCGTCAGCAGAGGCCAGGACACCTGGCAAAGCCACATAGAACTGATGGCCCGCTTCTGCCAAGAAGCCTTCCCCAACAGATGGACAGGAGCCACGCTGCACCTGCAGGTTCCTGGTCCCATGAGGGTGGGACCAGGGGGCAAGCTCCGCTCAGCCCGCCGCTGCGAGCCAGGCCGGGGAACTTACGTGAGAGTCCGGATGCACTTGGCCGAGTCCCGGATGTCCCACACCTTGATGTAGGAGGTGGACACAGAGAACACGAGCCCAGAGTGGCTGCAGTACTTGATGGAGACCACGTTGTTGGGGTGGCCCTTCAGAGCAACGATCTCCTGCCCCGTGACCAAGTTCCACACCTTACAGCTGCGGTCTGCAAGACGGCCAGTGTCCTGTCACCTCAGGGGGCCGGGCATGCCTGTCCCTCCACCCACTGGGGCCACCAACGCTGGGAGAGGTGATCCAGGGATGCCCAGAGGAAGGGGCTCCAGGTGTGGGGGAGAGAAACATGCTTGCGCCTGCTCCCGTGGAGCAGTGTGTGCACAGAGACGCAGGACTTCAGTTCTGTGAGCACGGCCGAGGGGCAGGGCCGGGGCAGAATCCCCGCCTGCTGACAGCTGACCAAGTTAACGAATGGTGGTGAGCAAACTTCAGGGGGAAAACTTGGAATCGACCAATCTGACCTAGACTGACAGCTGTCTCCCTCCCGCCACGCAGGTGTAGATAGCGTTTCCTGTTTCTCTGCCAGCATGTCTACCACCCAGCTGCTGCGTCTGCTGGTGACGTTCTCTGACTTTGTTGCTGCGACTAAGGAACGGTAGCTTTGTAGACTTGTGCTGCGTGGCCATCGGTGCTGGGGGGCATGGGGGTGCTGGGGGCCTGGTACTCGGGGCTGAGATGAGCAGACAGGGGGCGGCACCTGACAAGCTCCCTGGAGTTTCCGAGGCAGGTCTGGAAGGAGGAGGTGGACGGAGCCCCTACGGCCAGCTCTGAGGGTACCCGTGGAGGGGATCCCTGAGCCCTGGCAGGCAGTGAGCCAGCCGACCCCCCACACTCCAGCCGGGCAGCTGTGTTCACATCTCCTGGGCAGCCCGCTCTGGTGAAGGGACCAGGAGGGAAGGGGGAGGCCCTGACCCTACCTGGCAGGTCTGGGCTCCACCCACCTTTGGACCCGGTGAAGAGCAGCTCGTCCGTGGCGTCCAGGCAGAGGATGGGCTTGCTGTGGCCCTCGGCCATGGAGACGCACTGCAGCGGGGCCGTCCGCGCGCCCTTGGCTCCTCCGACAGGGGTGATGGTGCCCCTTCCCAGGAGAGAGGGAGAGAGGCACCCGTCAGCCCGGGGACTACGGCCAGGCTCACAGGGGAGGGCCAGGCAGAGGGGCACAGGGCAGGTGCAGGAGGCTCCAGGCACCCCCACCACAGCCCTCAAGGCCTGAGGGCTGCGCGGGCAGGGGCCTGTGCTCCAGCAGCCCTCCTGGCGCCACGCTGAGCACTTCTGGGAGCAAGCCCCCCAGGCACCACCGGCAGAACCAGAGCACGTGGACCCCACCCTCAGGGAGGTCCCCTTCGAGGCCGGCCCGACCTAGACCTGAGACGCACGTGCTCCCAGGGCCCGGCAGGGCAGGCAGAGACGCGAGCTGGAAGGGGCGCCTCTGCTGCCTCGGCTGCCCCAGGGGGAGGCGCGGGGCGCGGAGAGAGGGTGCTCAGGCTGCCACGCCCCCGCAGAGAGCCGCACACGCAGGTGTGCACCCCACCCCACGGCCTTTTTGGGACCAGCACGGTCAGGCCTGTGACTGCTGTTACAAAGGGCTAAGTCCTCCCAGGGACCCCTCCTCGGCTCTGGGGAAGACATCTGGGCCCCTCTGAGAAACGAGACTACAGGACTCAGAGCGGCCCCCCTCCCCACGGACACTCAGGGTGGCAAGCAGGCTTCCCCTGAGCGGGAGGGCCTGAGGATGAGGCTCTGTTTCTCAGGGAGGCCTTTGGGAACAAGGCCCTGCCTGAGCAAGTCCAGGCTGAAAGTATGTCCTACTTTCCTAGCTCTTTCCAAAGAGAGGGCTGACCCTGACGGTGACACCGTGGCCGAGAGCATCTGAAATGACCGATGTCCCGCCAGCGGCTTCCCAGAGCTCCCGCGTCCAGACTCAGCTGGCCCACCCCGAGGTCAGCGGTCAGAGAGGTCCAGCTGCCCCCCAGCATCGCACACACACGGACGGCCCCCCATGCCGCCCCACCCCAGCCCCCCACTTCCGATGCTTGTTTGGGCCCAGCTATGTGGCTGGGAAGGCACCTAGGACAGCTGTGGGAAGATGGCATGTTAACAGGAAAACCCTCCTCTGATGGAGAGGCCGGGGAGGAGGAGGGTGGCAGGCTTGCTGCGGTGGGAGGGTCACAGAAGCCTCACCCCAGGCCAGGGAACGGTGAGCAGCACTGGGAGCCCTCAGTGGAGGGTGGCCCTTTCCCAACAGGGGCTTAGGCCCCCTAGGTGCTGGGACGTGCTCCTCGAGTTGGGGGGCTGCGTGGAGTGGGCTGTGGGGAGAGGGCCACAGGCCAGGAGAAGTGGGCAGGGGCACCCCTCACTCAGAGCCCAGGCTGGGAGGCGCCCACGGACACAGCTGAGCAAAAGCAAGGATGCCGAGCACGGCGGACTGGTGGATCCCCCCCTGGCAGAGCTCAGCCCGGCCCGGCCCGGCCTCCAGGCTCCGGAGCACCCCCCTGGAGCCCCCAGCAAACGACCCACAGCCATGCCTCCCCTCAAGCCCCCAGCTCCAGCCTGGTGCAGTCAGAGGCCACGCAGCACCCCCGAGAGGGAGGAACCAGGGACGAGGTGGGGCCACGAGAGGAGGGGGCTGCATGCTGAGGACAGGGTGCAGGGGGCGGGGGGGAAACAGAGGATGAGCCATTCGGTGTGTACCTCAGGACCTCCGACAAAGAGGAGTCGCTGTCATCAGACCTGGGGGCAGAAAATTAGCTGGATTAGGGGGGAGGGGAACACACACGAGGGAGCAGAGGCGGCAGCAGCGCGGGGAGGTCAGAGGGCGGTTATCTCTGCAAGGGGAGCGGAGAGAGGAGACGGGCGGCCAGAGGGACAGTGGGAGAGGGCACTGGCCTGGGAGCTGGGGGCGCCCCTTGGCTAACAGGGGGCTGGGGCGGGGCCTCGCCGGTCCCAGGCTTCGGCTGCCTCACCGCACAAGCTGGGGGGCACCCTGCCCCCTCCGAGCAACACTGTGCCTGCCCCCACCCTCCTAGGGCGCTAGTCTCTCCCAGCTGCTCCTCAAGGACTTGCTGGTCACCAAGCCCACTGTCCCTGGGAGCTGCTGGGACTGTGCCCAGGAGCTGGCTCTGCACACACATGGTTCCTGACACCTGGCCCCTGGACAGGGCGGGGGTCTGGACATCCCAGGGCTGGGATGCCGAAGTCCCACCCAGTGCTGCTGAGAGGGACCTGACAACTGTCAAGGGGTTGGGGGG